GGCCGAGGGCTGGCGCGGGGAGGGAACGAAGGAGGCAGCGGAATTAGGCTGCTGTCTTTTCAGCGTGTCGCGGTCTAGTCACGGAGTTGCTGGATGATCGCGTGCTCCAGCCGTGGTATGATTAAGTCGTGGAGGGGTAAAGGTTTCAAACTCGATGTTAAAAAGGTCAAAAGATAACGTTAGCATCTGGGAATGTACGTAAACATGCAACTCGGTACAAAACACTTAAAAAAAAGAAAAAAAAGTGCTGAGCCAGGCCTGCTTAGTCATGAATAAGATGCGAAAACTCCAGGGAATCTCTGTGCTTCTAAATGAAGCCCAGTTTGTGCAGCGTGCCACCTGCCAACTCGAGGGTGCATCTCAGTCCTGAATCTCACCTAACAAACTAGGAGTAATGCCTCTAAAATAAGGGTTACTCTGCCCCCATCCCTCTCCCAGTCCTCCTAATGACATCTTCCCCAGCCCTGCACCTCTACCAGCTCTGAGCCTTCAGGAGACTTCAAACAATCTCTCATGATTCCCAGAGGCTCCAAGTCGTAGCACTACAGTTCCCTAAAAATGTCTGCCTTGGTAGCGAGGGTAGAGAGGATGAGTTTCACGGAGCTACATATTATCCTTGCATTGATACAGAGCTGCTCACTAGACCTCAGAAAACCTCTTTATTTTCTACATCTGTGAACTGCAGATTAACAGGGTAGATTTAGGCAGAATCTACAGATAAAAGTTACCTGGAAAATAGTCCGGAGACTTGCATTGCATGGGCCCAGGAATCTGAGAACAGGCCTGGCCATTTATGGCTCCACTGGAACTGGGGTTGTGCAGAGGGAAAACAAACAAAAAAACCCACCCAAAACCAGCAGTGGCTTGAATATTTCAATTTGTTGGAAAAACAGGAACCTCGTAGTGGATCCTAGAGACCTTCAAAGAAGTTACAAAATTTGAGGTAAATACATGCATGTGGAAGTTTTCATGTATAGCAAACATGCAGGTTTCCATATTGATTCAGGCAATAAAATGTGTAAGAAATATTCTTCAAACATTGTCTTTATGGGTTCATCAGTGTAGAATTTCCTAGACATGGGCTGTCACCAGTGGTGACCCATCCTTCTGACTACTGTGCTCTCTGAGAACAAGAGTGGAGGCGGTCCAGAGTTCCCTTTGGTTTCATCAGACCAGAGAAGGAGAAGTACCTTTTGGGAACTTTTCGTCAACTTTTATGCTTCCTTTGCCATTTCTATTTTGACAATAATATATTGATAATTGCTCTTTTAAGGACTGAATTTTCATCTGACGTCACACCCAGCTTATGGTATTAGATACACTCCTCTCTGGCAACATCATCAAAACTCTTATTAAAGCCAAGATATAACATATCTATTGCTTCTTTATCTAGCTTAAGCCAGTTAACCTTCTGTGTATAATTAGATAGTAGAACTCAGCTGC